ATTACTGAGCAAACACGACTTAAACTTCCTACATCTTTAAGAAAACCATCATCGATTCTCTAAAAATGTATAAAATATAAATTCTTACCCAGATGCTGAAATGATGAAAAAGACGATTGGCAACCAGTTTGTCCGAGTTGTTGTAGATGTCCGAGGGAAGCAGTTCACATAGGATTTTACTGTTCATATCAACAACGGCAGCCAGGTTGAAGGAAAAGCACGAGGGTGTGTTGATACAGGTAAGTCCACAATCTCTACTGCTGTGGACATAATCTGCTCCAAGTGCTGTTATGTTCAGGTAGGACAGTTTGTGCGCTTTAAATCTGGCGAAAGCGACACCAGTGTGAGCATTTCTCTCTATGCCTTTACCAAGTGCGTCAATAGTCTTTGCTTGACCTATTTGTGATGATCGACAGAAAAAGTGCAAAATTAGAACAGTCTTGGCAATTAACAATTGTTTCATGCGCCAGCAGGCGGTTATTGAGACGCGAGAGATTTGGAGAGCTCAAAAGATGTGCAAGAGTTCCTCAAGGTGAAGACAAATGCAACTCTTGGTTCTTGAATGCTTTCTTAACTTTCCAAAGTGTTTCATAACACGACTAACGCACACCTGAAGTATGACACAATTGTTTTGTTGCATGATTTCTGAGGAGAAATTTCCTCCACTAACCTTTAATGGCGTGCAAAATTGGGTTATGCAGCACCTTCGCGCTATTGAAAAATTTATTATCTATGTTATGAACTAAATAAGAACACAGAATCGACCTTGAAACATGATTCAGTTGAGGAGGATGTGTGAAAGAAAAACAAAAAATTTTTTACCTTTCGTTTTTGTTGGAAAGAACGTCAAGGCCAGAATGCTTATGATGTTCAGAACGACGAGGTCCATTGCGATGCGCTCTTCGAGAACTTTCATTCCAAGAAGCACTCCCGTGGTAGTAACATAATACCTCGTGTTTACACCGATTTGCTGTAAATACATAAATTTAATAAGTGGCGGCTGAAGAATTTATACCTTTCTCTTCATGAATTATTTGTTGAACTTGTCTGCAGGAGTTAATTGTCAGAAATACATCAGGGGTAACATCGTCTCTACGAAATCTTGCTGAGGGAACATGAATCATTATTGATGCAAGCAAGATATTTTCAACAGTTGATATTCTCTTGATGCAAGCCAATATGGCAGCGATCTCGAGTGATCAGTTTTGTCATGCCTACCTTTCAAACAGTTTTGAATTAGTAATTTTTATTTTGCATTTTAGTTTGGCCTCGTCGTTTGTTTTTCTTCTTACTATTAGTAGGCAAATAGAAGTCAATTCCTTTACTGTATTTCCCACTTTGTCTCTTTCATGAAGGCGGCACTCAGGTATTCTGTTCTTCCATTATATTTTTTTCCTTGGACTTTCCGCATCTTCCTTCCTAGTCAGAAACAACAGACTGAATATTTTTATTCAGTTGTGCGTGCTGGGAAATTAACAGTTGTAAATCATTTATCTATAGCATTTCAAGCACGTATCAAGATAATTAAATTCGTGGGAGCCTAATTGAAACACTCGTTGAGTGACAGCTTTGGCACACAACGTTATGACTGCAAATTAAAGCTTATTACACCTTGCACAAAGCTTAGGTTAAGGATAACTTACTCACGATGAAGAAGAAAATTCGACGTAATGTTTGAGAGCCATCCAAAATTCAAATTGTTAGAGCAGATAAAGTTATTCATCTTTAAATGTGTAAATGAAGATTCCAGATAAATGGTCTCGATGGGGCGATGGCTTTTACAGCTAACGTAACTTTGCGGTTAAAAGTAATCTACGTACGGTGGTTAAAATTTGTCAGTTCGTTCGCTTAATGGCTAAATTTTTTGATGTTTAGTAACGGAAATGGATAATTTGACGAAATTTCGTCAAACCGTATGAATGTTCATGGATTTTGGTAAATTTTTAGTCAAATTTGTCGAGGCGAAATCAGCTTGAGGGATTTGACGATTTTGACGAATTTTCGCCATTTTCGTTTCTGCATGCATTTCTGGAAATATCTCATCAAGACCCTCAGTTATTTATATGATATTTCTGAAGTGCTTTACCAAAAACCATCCGTGGTAGCAAACTGGAGGAATAACACCTGAATTACACCCTAAGATAACGCATTAAACGAAAAAGATATTCAGTGGTTTAAAAATTGCTTGTAATTGTTTCTTTTTATTTTTGAAAAATCTTGCAGTTCATGAAGATCATTAGTGTTGAGATTTTGCCTTCCTGAAACGTGCTCATTGCTTCAAATACAGAGAATAATGATATGCCTATGTCGAGTATACAGGAAGGCGAAAACAGGAAGTGTGTATATAACAAATTAACTATTCGAATGTTTCATTGTATGGGAGCAGGTGTGTTTTTTTCTCTCACTGTGTCGATATTGTGCGGACCTATTGTATTGTTGCTAAGTAACACTAGAGCATGCGCAGAGCGAAGACAACCATGTGCTTAGCTAAATGGCTGACATTTTACACCTCGGTTTGTTGTTGTTTTAAAATAAACTTAGTTGAGATTTCAAGACACTCACCATTTTAGATTAAGGTTACTTAGGTCAAATTATCTCTGAACATTCCTTTATCCCTGTCGTTTCACGTCTTCGGCTAAAAAATGAAGATGTCGAAAGGTTTTACTTTCAAAGTATAGTAAGTAACAAATTTGCGATGAAAGGGCTAAAAAAAGAACCAAACACCGCTGAGAAAACCAGGAAGATTCATCTTAAATCATAATTCCTTAAACCAGTCTTCCCACTCTGACAGAGACCTCTCCTCGTTTTAACATGACAACCCTTACCAGAGCTATCTTCATTCTGAAATGCTGGTCTGTTACTAGTAGATCGAAGGCTCAACCAGCAAATAGACCTAGTCGACCTGGTAACTAATTAAACACGTGTGTAACATTCAAGATGGCGCTGTCAGAGACAGTGAGAGCGAGGAAAGTGTTCGTTCATCCTGTAGTGTTATTTTCGATCGTGGATGGCTTCGAAAGACGTTCGGAAGACGCAAAAAGAGTCATAGGAACACTTCTTGGAACTATTGACAAGTCTTCAGTCGAGATTCGAAGCTCTTTTGGCGTTCCACACAACGAATCCGAAGACGAAGTAAGCCTTCAAACAACTTAATTGCCTTGTTTTGTGCTGTTCCCTTTTTTTTAATTTCACAATCAATCTCCTGTACATTCTTCTGATGGATAGGTACGCTGCGAGGTATCTGTCATTAAGATCTGTTTTATGTTAAATTGATTTGAATTCAGGCGATCACACATGTAAATAAATTAAACTTTAGCCCTATTTTCATGACAGCATTTATGTTGCCGGCTTAAATTTACTCCAGTTTGAGTAATTTTAGCATATTTATTCGATGTGTAAGGGTAGCAGTAAAATGATAAATTTTCAATTTTAATTTTCTTAATCTTAATTTTCAACGAAAAAGCATTGTATCATTGCATTACAGGACGATTACGCTAAATAATCGTATTATATATATACCGTATCGTGAACATATTTCTGTGGATATGTCGGCTGTTCCATATATTCCCTATTTTCCTCTTTTTACACTTCCTTTTGAAAGACCTAATTCATCTTATGTCTGTGCATTCTCTCTTTAGATTACTGGTAATTTTAGCACTGAGTAGTTGGTTTTAAATCAAACAGTATTCCTTGTTCGATCATTTTCTCTATCTTGTCACCTTTATGCTTAAAAGTGTTTTAATGTTATGAGAATACCTTTGGTGAGCTCCGGGGGCAATGAAATTTTGAGCTAACATTTTGAGCATTAGCTCTTTCTCCAGAGGGAATGCTGACCTTTCAAGTGTTAGCCCTTCACCAAAGGCTAACACTCAAAATGTCAGCTTTGAAACTCTTTACGGCAGCCGATTTACGTTATCAACTCAGTTGATAATGCTAAATTACTCTTTTATACTCTCCCATTGCTGCAAGCACCACAGTTTCTTCAGAAACTTACTCCCTTCTATTCAGTGAAATTTAGAGGCTAGTTTGAAGATGGTTGAATTCGTTAATGATATTATTTATTGAGCCTGGTGTGTTGAAACATCTCTGAAGTTGTGGTTACAGACCTACTTGGCT